GTGCAGCTTTTGCAGCACTATTACCAAGTTTGTACTCATATAAGAAAATGACGCGAATGTCGGCAGAATTCATATCGGTAATAAACTCAAAAGAAATAAAAAAGGGAAGACCTTCGAGAAAACCTATTTTGTTGAAATGAGTCTCTGGCAATGGACAATACGAGTATGAATGAGGTTATGCCAAATACAAAAGTATAACGAAAACAGGGAGGAAAACGTCCGCATGTAAAGAGAATGCGACATTTCATACGCACCAACCTAATAGTAGGCAGAAATAGGAACCTGAATCGTTCTCGCCGGGGACCTGTTGCGGATGATCCTACGACCAGAAATAACGTTGGGGGCCTCCGAGAGAAGCGCATTCCAAAAGGAAGGGCGGAGGGAAAGGACAGAAATTTATTATAGCGATTAGAGGGAGAGAGAGAGAGAGTCCCTTAACGCGGGCTGTTCATCGAGCACATTGGCGTGCGGCGTCACAATAATGCATTATCCCCCGTCGTAATAATCACTTGCGATAATTGAAAGAAGGTGTGAAATCTAGCGGGACGGGCAATGCGGAACTGCGTTCGGTATACCTGCCGTGGAATTATCAGGACGCCATTCAGGCAACGGGATCTACGAGGATAGCGAAGAACCGATAATAACGAGAGTTAACAATTCCGATTCTAATGACGGAGAGGAGAAGAGCAGGTTTCAGGCGGAAGGTGGGAGAGAAGAAGACGCTCACATCGGCGACTGATACGAGGGGAACTAGCATCGAACCAGCTCGGCTGAATAGAGACCAAAAAGGCAAAAATCCCGAAGAGCCGCGGAGAGCGACGGTGAGAGTGAAGCCGAGCGAGAGAAGACGAAGAAGGGCTCGGAAGAGAACGAGAGAGAGAGAGAGATAGAGAGAAGGAGAAAAGAGTGTAAGAGAGAGAGAGAGAAGGAGGAAAGAGCGTAAGAGAGAGAGAGATGCGCATCCCGTAGCGTTCAAAGGACCTTTCGGGCTCCTCTCGGCCGGAGCGGACCCGGATGCCCTTCGCTGGGCCGTATTGTCCCTGGCGAGCCACTCGCGGTATGCGGGGAGAAGGAGAGGGGCGGCCAGGGAGAGCGAAGGGGGGCGCAGCAAGGGACCCCAGCAGGGCACCCAACTTAACACACGATCAGGCGAAACGGTGAAAACGCAAACGAAAACGGAGAGAGAGTCACTCACCTTGTCGCTCGTTGGTGCTGCGTCCGCCGATGCCTCCCTCGTCATTCACCGTCGCGACGCTCGTGAGTAGACACATGCGAGAGGCACCACCGTTGACACTGCGCGCGCGCGCACTCGCGCGCGCGCGAGTACGACGCACGAGACACACGAGGCGAGTACGCTCGCACGTCGCAGGCACGTCAAAATACCGCCGTACAGTCGGCGCGCCGCATACTCCCGCGCCGGAAGTTCCTTTCGCTCTGTCGGGAAGAACGATCCTCCGCGAGAAGCACCGAGAACTCACGCGCTGATCCCTCGGGGATTCGCCCCAGCCACCGCGTCGTCCGTGTCCCTTCGTCTTCCCAGTCGGAGATTATTCCACTCGGCGGCTGTCGCACGCTGCGTCGTTGCGTCGCGCTGCGGAGTCGCTCACGTGCGTGCCGATCGTCGCGGACAAGACGCGAAAAATGCGAGACGCGGGCATCGCTCGCGCTCCGAAGCGACGGATAAGTGTGACAAACGCCGAGCGATGTGTGTTGCCGTTTGACCTGCCTGCGAACTGACCAATCGCCACGCAGGTGGCATCCCGCTGGTCCCCGTTGCGCCAGGGGAGGAGGCCCGATCACCTGCCGCGCGACCTGCTGGGGTTCGGCGCAAGACGTGGGACCGTCGGGCCCCGATCTGGGCATGATAGCCTGCCGACGCTGATCTGTCGTTGGTAACGTAGAACAAGCCGGGGCGACCTGGATTAGGCGACGGACGGTTCAACGTTGCCGAAGAACGTTCACCTGCGTTCTGCGTTATCGTCGAGTGAAGTGGGCGCACGCGGGTTCAGGAAGATGGCACGTTTGCGTCGTGGAGACTTTTCAGAAAGTCCGCTCGCTCACCAGCCGCTAACCTTTTACTGGGTTGATCATCGCTCTAATTACATCACGGTGCACGAGGCGATTTAAATCCGCCTGGCTGGCGCACGAGAGACGCGAATGAGACGCTTTCGCTGTTCCCCTGATTCAAGAACTTCGGAAATAACATGTCTACATTGATCGATAAAATGCAATTTTTTAACATTATCGATATTACGATTATGAATTATTAGAAATTGTGTACTTCACATGCCAATTTCTAGATAACTAGATGGTCAACAATCTTGTAATTTTTTTATATTGAGAATACAAATTAGTTCGGTCCGTTTTTGTGGTCAAAAATGTATTTATTTCAGAACAAAATAAATGAACAGATTAATCAAAGTATTGTCGCTGGCTACTACTTTTTCCCACCTCTCAGGCAATTTTCGAATTCCATCTCGAAAAAATGTCTCGTCTTTTGAGACGATCCAAGTTAGGAGCCAATTTTCGATTTCTGCGAAAGAAGTGAACCGGTGACCAGCCAAATCGCGCTGCATCCGTCGGAACAACCAGTAATCAGAAAGAACACTGTCCGGCGAATACGGCGGGTGCGGTTAAAAATCCCACTTGAGCGTTTCCAAATAATTTTTTACGACTTTTGCGACATGAGGCCGAACGTTATCATGCAGAGGAATAACTTTGTCATGTCTTTGCTCGTATTTCGGCCGTTTTTTTCGTAATGCACGGCTCAAACGAATCAATTGTAGCCTATACCGATGGCCCGTAATGGAATCTCCAGGTTGTAGCAGCTCATAGTATACAACACCCTTTTGGTCCCTGTCTAGAGCGAGGCTTGTCTTCAACGCTGAAATCACCATTGTTGAAACGTCGAAACCATTCCCTACATGATTTATCAGTTGGAGCATTGTCACCATAAACTTCTACAAGCATTCGATGCGCTTCAGCTGCACTTTTCTTCCAATTAAAGCAGAAAACTAAAACCTCCCGCAAATGCTGCTTAGTTAACACAAAATTTGACATATTCAACACAGTAAAAAACAGAGGTTTTGTATGAAACTCAAAGCGATATAAACTGAATATTATTGACAGATATCTAACCTCTCTGAAAGCACCGAAATCAGCTGTCACTATGAAACATTCAGAACAGCCTGAGCCATTTTTTGAAAACGGACCAAACTAATTTGTACTCCCAATAATATTCTCACAAGTCTCTTTTATCATCTTTTCGTTCTTCATTAAAACCGCATGAGTTCCGCTGCTGGAATTAAAAATATGATATCGGAGGCCTGTTCTCATACCTGTGATAAAATAATATATAAATGAAGCTGACTTTGACTTCACTATCTCAGTTTCGGTACGGTCAATTTTCCTGTAATTTTATCTTTCACGTATCGTACATCGTAGATCGTGTTTCGATTAATATGCCGTGAAAATTTGAATGAATTCCTAAAAACATAAATCTACGGATCAACTATTGCACGGATAAAGATCTGCGCGGATTAATTAATGACACGTTGTCACGAATATCGAAGCGAGCACGTTCAGCGCATAAAGCGGGCGATGATTAGCTCTTGCGTATATAATAACAACAATTCATTTACAACAACAACAACAATTACATACAACAAAATTCAATACGCTGGATCGTCGCGATAAAGCTTGGGAAAAAAACAGGCGCGTTTAGATCGTTATCGCGGCCGCGAGGCCCGATATCGTCCGGCGACGTGGGGAAAATATTATGAGGCAAGCCTGTGCACGGTGCTTCAAGGCTGTGACCCGACGTAGGTACTTATTGTATCAAGTCTCGTTAACGGAGATGTTCATTCACTCGCACCGCCAGATGACCAGTATGGCCCGCGTAACTCGTTGCCGCCGTGTCTCGCGCGTATCGCCGCGGCGCGATAGTGACCAGAAAGTACGACGGACGTTCGGATGAGATGTGAGTATTTCGTCGGAGTTATCATTGTCGCATCATCATGGAAACGCAATCGAAGTGCCAGCACGTTTGACCACGATGGCGGCGCTGGTACGTCTTAAACGCGGCAGTGTCCAACTGAGACACGCGGCGCTTGAGGTCAAAGGTACGTGTGATCCTCCGAGGCTGTCGACTCTCGGAGAACCGATTCGCGACCAGTTTCGCACTTCTCCAGTCGAAGAGAACGAATAGCTTGTCGATCGTTAAAACCGCCGTGTGTCACTCCCGTCACGTGTATCTCGGCGAAGTTGATCATGTTTTTCATCATGTCGATCAAAAGAAGTGACATCTGAAAATCGAAAATCTTACAAAATCTTAAAAACCACACTCTAAGTGCATGAAGAAAAGAAAACACTCAAACTCGTATGCGACAAAAAGTATGTATACAGATTTTGGAAAATAGATGTTCTTCAAAAATTGATTTTGTTGAAAAATAAACACGAGACCAATGTATAATAGTCTGGGATTTTGATATTTCTTGGCCAAAAGCCATTTCTTCAAGTCTCATTTCAAGTGATATAAACGCAGTTTTATATAATGTTCTATCATATCATATATAGTCATATCATATAGTCAAGTAACTGTAAATTGTTGTCATTTATTATTCTTTTATCATTCATCGGTAAATGCTCAAAATATTGATTACTCAAAGGTAACCTTTAATCACATCCGTCATATTGACAATATTGTGTTACATGTTATATGTATTTTAAGTATTGACATGGTGGTGTTATATATATTTAATACGCTGCACGAACATACATATCGCGAAATAAATAATTTAATATTATATTGTGTTTTTATTTATGCCAGATAATAACTAGATTTCTGGTTGATATAAATGTAACCTTACGATAGGAAAGTGTTTTTTTTTATTGAATGAACCGTAAATAAAAGAGCTAAGTAATTTTTGCTTAATGCGTGGATAATATCAGCAAAAGTTTCAACATTCAGATTATAACACCGATTATATATAATTAGATACTTGTTTAATTGTATTGATCTCTATTTATTTTCGAGCAAAATAAATTTTTGAAACATCTGTTTTTCAAATTCCGCTTGTATACTTTTTATTGCATATGTTTCATGAGTTTTGATGTTTTCTCATGTATTTGGCGTATAGTTTTTATCTTTGTAAAATTGTTCCTCGGGATTTCCGCAAAGTTGATCTTCTCGTAACGGACACGGTTGGCTACTCTCGATTGAGAATTGCAAAGTTAAACAAATTAGCATACTGACGAGTTGACTTCAACTCGGTAACTTCGACGCGCGTACATCGGTATGAAAGCAATCAGTGTCAGGTGGGCTGAGGTCGCTAATCTTCCGGTCCGCGCTGCTCAGGGATGCGCGTGAGTCGTAAAAATGCAACGTGACGTACGTTCATTGTCTTTTCGAAAAGCCGGCTATTTGCGTTACATCATTGTCGAGCCAAGGTCGAGGGCATCTGCAATATATTCATAGTAGTCTAGAGATAGTGCGCGAAGAATCAAACACCGGGAATGATAAGAGCGAGATGTCGCGGTCTATCTCGTTATTTTTGCCTTCTGTGAGATGGCAGACTTCGTCAAGAGAGGTAGTGTGCAGTTCGTCAAACGTGGCAGTTGTCAATTAAAGCTCGCTGCGAAAGAGGTTCGAGGTTCGTCGAATTAATTATTATTACTGATTTTATTGCATTTCTCTCATCGCACGTGTCACGCGGCCCAATATTTTAGTAACATCGTCATGCGCATTAATTAATGGCATCGATATTTGTAATTAATAACAACACTTGTTTAATATAACATCGTCGTCATCGTTGAAATAAATTAATAATGTTTGGATAACTATTCGTATCTGAATTAAATATCATGTTGACATAAGTGTTTGTTACTAAAACCGCATCGTTAAGTTAATTTTAATTAATACTACAGCGGACGATTCAGTATCGGCAATATCTTCGTACTTAACCTAAGAAAGCCGTCTAGACAAGTGCCTTTTTTAAAGTTTAGAATCGATATATTGCTAAAGGCAAAAACACACCATCGTGCCATCCGTTTGAGTAAGTTATCAAACTCAAACACCGCCGTGCTCCGATGTTTGGAGACTACGATAATGAATGTATGCACAAAAATCTCACTCTGTCGCAGTAACGCGTTCAATTTGTCGCATATAACGATTCCGTGAGGCTAAAGACTACGCGCGACCTAATTAGCGAGGTAGTCGCGTTAAATTATTCGGATCTTTCAGAGTGTTTCACTAATAATTCAATGTTCTAGTTTACATCTGTCATTTGATATTAACTAGCAATTTTTTATTAGATTGACCTCGACTTGATATCGAAGTTGTTACGATATATTTTCTCGATGCGTATTATACCAGTTTGGTATTTTTTCTACACCACCGTTCACGTACATCGTCGATATCAGGATAATCTAATAGAATGTTATTAATAATACGTGTATCGAACGATCGATGTAAATTAGCATAATGACGATGAAATATTCTCGAATTCTTTTAGAATTTTTAACGGAAACGTGCTCGCAAATCGTGCCGAACCGTTTGTAGATTTTTACCAGCGTAACTTTCGATGACAGCAAAATTACTATTTCAAACCACTTGACACTTTTTTTACCAGCACTCCGCTCGATGGAATTAGTCAGCGCGATTACTGTGACGTATCCCCGTAATTCTATTATTATTCGTTAGCGACTGTACGAGCGCGACACGTCGTCGCCGCGTTGGTCGCAGTTGGATTTGCGCTCTGCGGCGCGGTCGAAGTCAGTTCCTCCGTCGCGCTGCTGGCAAATCAGGAAGACAATCATGCCATCATTGACACATCTTGGCACTGCGACATGCTGGTCAATATCACCAGCCGCAATCGCACCGAGGACTTCGAGGTTATACTTTTGGAGGTATACACAAGATCTCTTTCAAGCGATTCGCACTCATAATCGTAGCGCTAAATATAATTCTTGCTAGTTTCGGAATTTATTTGCTCGACGTGAAGCAAATCGATGCAAATGTGAACTCAGTGCATAGATACAATTAATACATTGGCGACGGAGGACGCATATAATGCGTCATTTAGGTTCTTTACTTGAATGCGGATTACGCAAATATGCCTAATCGACATCTTCATACATTTGTCTTAATATAAATTTGTCGATATTTACTTGAATGACACATAATTTTTTTTTATATAAACATATACGATCATATACGTATATAGGCAAAATTCATATATGATTTTGCATAATTATATATGATGATATATAATCGATTTTTACCGGGTTGTTATGAACGATAGCTGCCGCAGGAGGAGCGAGCGGAGTCGATTATGCGCGAGGCTTTCTTATGGGGACAGGTGGCCGGGCCAATCTTGGGAGGTTGCCTGGTATGGGGTCGATCCGGGCCCTCCATGGTGTTCTCACGAGCGGTTCTTAGCGCCTGTTTAGCGTCCCTGTTAGTACCCGCCGCCTGGCGCGGACCGTCGCACGTCGCGCTACGCTTGTTCCAAGGATTATGTACCGTAAGTCACGACGGACTTTATCGCGCCACCGTTCGCGGATTCGCGGACGAAAGCTCGCGTTGCAGAAACGTGCCGCTACGTTTAACGTCTGCCACGTGAAACGAACGCGGTGAATTATATTACGACATCTTCTTTTGTAGGGCGCGACCATGCCCGCTGCTCACATGTTCGCTATGACCTGGTTTAAGAGCAACCACAGGAGCTGGTACTTCAGTTGTTACGCAGGTAGATCGCAAACTCGCGCTCGTTTGAGCGAGAAATCACGAATAAGAGCAAACAGAGATAACACGTTGCATAGAAAATCTCTTTTCCTGAAACAATTGAAGATTCTGTTGAGAAATTCGCGCGGATTCTGTTTAGAAGTTTAAGCATACGATTCCAAGTGGAAGACACGAACAGATCCCGTATTGTCACCCCGACGTTTTCCAAAAGATTCTTTTTAGTTTCCCACAAAATTAATATTTGCTACTTAGATAGTTAAATAAATAAAGTTATAGGAAAGTTTTCTTTGCAATAAATAAACTTATGTAAGAACTCTTAATATCGCGACTGAAAATCTGATATTCTCTAGACTGACTACCTTAAGCATAAAAAATGTATAATAGAAGAATATTACAATCAAATACAATATAATGGACTTGGAAGCAAAATTTGCCAAAGTCTTAAATTTATTAAATTTTAATATAAATCGCAAAAATTAATCCATTTTTCGGAAATAGTGTAATAAAATATCGCAATTTATATGAAAATTTAATACATTTAAGCGATTTAATACACCGTCGCTTGGAAATTTGGCTTCTAACGCCTATTACTATATTGTATTTGATTAAAAATGTAACCTCGTTTATTAACCTTCTAATCGATCAAATTATCGCTCGACTTTGGTGATAACTGTCGCATATCGTTACGCACAACCTATCGGCAAAAACCCAGGCTTCATCCCATATTTAGGAGATAAGAATAGAATTTTCAATAATATCGTTGTGGGATAATTTATTTTGAGATAACTTTGAGTAATCTATTCGGGGATATATGCTATACGGGAAAATCTGAGAAAATTTCTATGCGGGACAGTGTTTGGCCTGTTGGTGTTTCTTCGCGGGGAATAATATGGACGTAAAGACACTTAGACGCCAGGAAGACTTTTTTCGAGTGATCCCATTGAGCATCCTTAGCGACCGTTCGCGGCGATTCGAGTTAATGGACTAATCCTAATTCCCATATTTTAAGCCGTCAGCGTGGGTTATTGCCTCACCGGATGGCTGGGCACCGCGGTGGTGCGAACATTCGGCCGTGATTCTCTGTGCTACGGTCTGGTTCTCCTGGCTCTGTGCTGGTACTTCGCCTTCGGTCGATTCGTCAAGGACACACCGAAATCCTACCAACACGACACAACCGTAAGTAACGGTTTTCGGGTGATTTCACGCGTACTTCTGTTGTCATGCGTTTGATAGTCTAATTAGATTCGCCGTAGGCTGTCAGATAAGAGAGATTCTTGTAGTGTTGTAATTGTTGAAGAATTTCACGTGCGCTCTAGAAGTTCAGCCAATGTGCGTTAATTAGCGTATGCGATAAACTCGTTTCACGATAGCTACGATGTTATCACGATACGCGTAACTTAGTCCTTATGACAGTTCTCGAGCTGATCATGAGGTTATCGATGATCACAGGCGGCTGTAATACCATGGGGAAAACTTTTGAGATCCGTGCCCGTCTGGGCGTCCGCGGTGGCGACCATGGGAAATCAATGGGGCGATGCGACGCTCGCTCTCGGCATGACAAAGTACCTGAAACTCATCTATGGCTTCTCCACAGCTAACGTAAGTTAGTCGAATAGAATGATTTATTCTTGCCGCTGACACCTCGCGAAATCCTTGCTGCTGTGTAATGTTAAAATGTGAGAGAGGTGTTTGGCAGGAAGAGAGGAAAGAGCATGTAGATTTTATGTGTCATGTAATTACGTAATGCTAAAGTTCAGCTGGGTGTTCACCACCCCGATCAATATTGCGAAGGGATAGCTGTAACACAAGTCTCGTTTCGTTATTATGTTGCCACTCGATTCAGGATTCAGTGCTAACCACATTACCTCACATCGGTCATTTCATGGCTGCGCTGACCTGCGGTCTTCTGGTCGACCACGTCCGCGAGTCTGGTATAGTTTCCACAACCACCGCGAGAAAGTTGGTCGTCTACACAGGTGCGTTATGACGATCTCTGTAAACGGCAATGCATCTACAATGTTGCGAAACACGTGTTCTAGCCTTTGATACGTGAGTCAGTTTATGTAAAAGATAATTATACTTTTCATTATTATCATTGAAACATATATCTCAAACAAAGAAAAAAAAAATGATATTAAATTATAATATTATATTAAATTTATTATTGAAATATAATATTAGAGAAATTTTTTTCTCTTTACTCTGATATTAAATTACTAATATTAAATTATAATATATTTAATATTACTGTTATAAGTAAAAAAAGAAAATAAAATTGACATATCACGAATTATCTTTACGCTGCAAGGTGGATAAATTGCTGCTGGCGTTGCCGTGCTTTGCGTAACAATGGAAGTTGAAAGTTTTCAAAATGCCTAGTAACACAAACCAAAAATTGTCTTACACCACGTAACGCTATAAAATCTTTTCGACAACTTAACTGAGAACTTAATTCTCCTCGTGATACCGAACGAATGAAATTAATCGATTAGCGCATTTCATCCCCGCGGCTCTCCTCTTCGTCGCCGGTTACGCCGGCTGTCAAGCCCTGGGTGCTGCCTGGCTGGGGATAGCCGCCCTCCTCGTTTCCGGCACTGCACCGGCCGGTGCACTCGCTGCCATAGCCGACCTCGCACCTGCGGAATCGCCGGCGTGCGCCGCGGCGGCGTGCGCTCTTTGCTCCACGTTGGGAGCCGCGGGACTGCTGGCCGCCAATTACTTCGTCACTCAGGCTCTTCATGGCTCCGTAAGTCGAATTACGGCCGGACGACACACGTGCTGCCCACGCAAATGTAAACGGCTAAATCGCGTTTTTTTTTCGCCGCGCCCCCGCTTCGCTTGCGTAAGAATAATTTCGCGAAGAGTTCTTATGCCTTTTACACTCCAAATGACCCGTACCGTAGCGTTTTTATCGGCTTCCGGTTAAATCATCATCGAAAGAACGTAAGAACTGCTTTAGAATTCAGTTAAATTTTTACCCGAAGTTTAGTTCCAGATCTTTTTAAAACTTTCTACTTGTGATTTTTTTGGTGCATTTTTCCGTTAAAAAGAGAAACTTGAATCGGTGAAGGATCGTACGATGTAAAATTAATATTGTTTATTATTATTAATTGTTGTTTATATTAATGATATTAGAGGAAAAGCACCAAAACTGATATAGGTGTGATAGAACCGACATATCCATGTTTCTCGGTTGCAAAGTATTGAATTCGGCCCAATAGAACATGAACTTCGTTTATTGTGCACAGTAGTTAAGACTGAAATGGCAGTTTTCGTTTGCAAGCGCATTTGGTTGTGTAGTTCATATTTGAATTTTACTTCGTGAAATATCATTTTACAAAGTAGAGTTGAAACAACCGATGACCGATTTCCTCCTGTTTCTTATTTAGCTTTTTAAGATGGTCGGAAAAAAGTCAGAAGATACTTTACTATATAATAAAAGAGCAATATATATTGTAAAATTTTTAAAGTTTTAAAAAATATATGAGATTAGAGGTAACATGTATGGATATGTAATAAGTGTACAAAATAATGTAATTTCAATGCTTTTATTTTATTTTCTTGATAACTTCCTTTATGTATTATGAGTATGTCGGTTTTGCGGCTTAGTTTCTAGAGGTGTCAATATTCAAATTAGCCTAAGAAAATAGTTGTACGAACATAGTTGCAAGAACATACGTAATAATTTTTAAAGGACCATCATATATATATGGGTGCCGCATATATATAGTTTTGTGTGCTGGTTTGCATCTATGCATATAAATCTTAATTTCACATCTTCAATAAGGCGTTAAAATCGACAAACAAAGTAGTATGTCGGTTTTGATGCTTTTCCTTTAATGTTCTTCAAACTCCTGCCGTAAGTTAGAAGTGCGATTTCATTTTCCGCGTTTATAATTATTTGATCCGTGATCATGAAGAAAACACGCCTGCCGGTTTCAGATCGCCGGCTCTTGGCGATTGGTGTTTGGTGTCGCGTCTGTCGTCCTGTTAACGACCGCTGCGGTTTTCCTGGCTCTCGGCAAAGGTGTTCCGCAACCGTGGATCCCGTCCGTGGCGAGACCGCGGAGTCACGATGTGATTTATGAGCAGGACACGCTGGAGCTGGATTACGAGGACGTAGGTGTGCAGACCGAGCCCTATGGGCCGTATGCGTTGGAGGACGACGTTGAGAGCTTGAAGAATGTGCCTCGCTCTGCGTCGATCACCTCGAAGGTCTCGGCGACCTCCAATTAAATCGCAATCTGCCCCGGTGGGGAATTTTCGTGCCACATTTGCATTTCGTCCTGTAGCAAGGATAATCTATCCCTTCGCGATCGTCGCGGTAGAATCCAGTGTATAGTGATCACGTGCTGTGAATACGCACGTATGATTAACACGATGAATGTACATAACGTTTTAAGAGTAAGGATTATAAGGACACGAGAACATGTTTTTATACAATTAACACTGATTGTTCTCAAGGTATACCACGATGGTTGAAAAGATTAAAACGGAATATAACATAATCATTAAAATCAATGCATTAATGAATTTATTATAATTCACCATTGTACGTAGGAATTATTTCATTATAGAAGAGAAAATTTTACAATAAAATTTGCTATTATATATGTAGAATTTTGTAATTGAGGAACGCATATGTCAATATTCTGTCTTTTCTTTTAATTTAACATCGTTCCGTTTCATTCCGTACAATTTGTATTTTAGGGACTGAAGTGTATCCTGAAAGAAGGATTTGATAACAATTACCAAGATTTTATTAAATAGTCTAGATCAAAATTATTTGGCTGCTGTAACCAAATATTTAATACTATATACTGTATATAGTATGTAGTATTATAATATAGTATATATGTGCGGTACTAAATGATTTGGTTGCAGTAATCAAACAATTTAGTTGAAACTATTTAACCAAATCTTGGTAATTGTTATCAAATCCTTCTTCCAGTGTACTATTGAAAAATTTATTGTGTTCCTTAGCAAGACAAGCTCCGCCGACCGTCTATTTTTACGCTACCAAGAAGCACGGTAAGATTGAAGTGAATTTATATAGAAGGAAAGCTATGACAATTTTCTCTCTTTATAAGTCGAACAGTGCGCTACCCCTTGAATTTCGCGGAAGACAATCTGAGAATCGCTGCTCCGGAGAAAAATATCGTTGCGAAACGATGCCGTGAATAATAACAGGTAGACGCGCTTTGACTGATAATATCATGCGTGGAAAGTTGCCCGGTGATAAAGATACTGGCGTACGTTTAAAGATATCAGCGGGCATGAAAAGAGACAGGTAGAAGAGAAAGAGAGAGGGAGAGAGACGCGGCAGATAAACGAGTCGCTTTTGCCGCGAGCTATTCACTCTCGACTATTGTTGAAGTGGCTTCGCTTCATCCGGATGCCGCATTGAGAGTACTTAGCCGATTTTCTCCTCGTGTTCGTTGTATTTCCTAACTCTCGTTACCCGCCGGTGTATCTGTGTATCACGCGCGTTCTCTGGGACAACAATGTGCGTCGACTTTCCATTGCTGCCGCGAAAGAGCGGGAGAGAGAGGGAGGGAGGGAGGGAGAGAAGTCGCGGCGGATGCGACATGCCGTTTTAATTAGACAGTTTACAGGCGAAGTGTCCGTATCGACGCCGATACCATCATGAAAATGTCTTTGGCAAGTGGCGTGTTCACCGGAAGCGCGATTCAAACCCTGCGTAAGATCACCGTCCGCATTATTAGTGTCCCAGCGTCCTGACGGCGGCCTTTCACGCGCGTATCCGGCTTGCGTGGAAAATTAAAACACTGGTTTAGACGTCCACGGAAAAACGCCTGCCATTCGCCGTGGATTGAGATATTTCGCACGCCGCTTTTTGCGTCAGGACTCGCTCGATCGACATTCTCGAGCAAGCGACAACTCAATGAATTTGAGGTTATTATTCATGAATTAGTCTAGATAATAATCTGTTATTCTCGTCGATTTTATTTTTCGGTAGATCTCAATGGAATGATAAGTTTTTGCGACGCGCTTGTACACGGGGAAAATATCGTTGAATCAATATAGTATGACAGATATAATAGAATACAATGAAACATAATTTAATAATAAATATAATATTAAGTATATAACTAGATTAATAAAGAATTAATATAGAATCTCCAATAATGCGTGTAATTAGAGTAAATCTTCTTGATTTAATATCAATATTATTGAAATTAATATATCGTGCATGATTTCTGAATAATTTAAATATTAATTTCAATTTTAAATATTAGTTTCAACGATATCGCCATTGAATGAAGATTTACTTTAATTATTCGCTCTGTTAGAAAATTTCACCGATTCAACGGCTCGTTGTTCGCGCGTTTTTGAATGCAATGTCAATAAACCAATTCGCAACTACAGTTTTGATTATCTGTTGGACGCGCGATAATTCCGACGATGATTACCGAGTGATTCTTTCAATCCACTTTGACCGTCGAATTTGCAAAAATCCGTGTTTCTATAAATGAAGCTTCATTACTATTTTTTTGGTCGGATCAGGTCGACGTTTGTACAGATCGAACGTTCGTCGTTCCGCTTCGGATGTGTCGCATGGAGTAACACGCTTTCCGACGGAGAATTTGCCAAGAGAGCTCTCCGAACGCGTGGAAACCTTTGTGCGAGATTTCATGATCTCCGCCCTCGGCCGCATACTCGCGCGGCAAGTTTGTGTAGATCCGACCAGTGTCGCAACGCGCGACGCTAATTACCGGCGGTAGACGTGTTACTATTCTTTCCCGGTAACGCCGACTCTCAGGGACTTATGAAATGAATTCTCACACAACGCCTCTGTCTACCATCCGACTCTTTCTTTATTTCGATGCGTATATATCACACTAGTCGTTTACGTAACATAGCGTATTTACAGTCGTAAGATTGGAATACCCTAGCGGTGTACTTTCGAGCTAGAGTTTCCGCAGACAATATCCTGCGATTCAATGGAGAGCGATGTGCTCCAAGATCTCCTATCCTGGATAGTCAGCAAGTATCGGTAACAAATTTGCTTCTCTTTTGCACCAAGTAAGTGTTCACTGCATTTCTTTGGCTCTCAGTGTGTGATTAAGCAACATAAATATATTTCTGCAAAATTGCAGATGCAGCACTATCATGTAATTATCGCAGTGTAATTATACTATTAAGCTGTTTTACCGAAGTTAATAGCCATTACTTTCGCGATCTCAATGTTACTTGTTTCACCGTTATGAATTTTATAAATAATATCATTTCAACACGGAAGAGATAACGTATACTCTAAGAATTAGTTTTAAGCGACAACTGAAAGATGAATATACGGGAAAGTATTATTTTTCTCCGGGAGAAAAGAAGTTCTATCATCTGACAATTGTTTCTTATCGGTCGTGCACTGATGCGTCTACTTTGGTAGATATAAATTACGCGACGACGAACGATAAATGTGCGCGTCGGCGAACGAACTGGAAAGTTATCGTGCAGAAAATCGGCCGGGCCGCGCAGCGACGATTTCCCTTTCGTGAAACCGATTCGATTCATTAACGACACGAACGCGTCCGTTGCGTGCGCGACCTGCGTTGGTCCTCGCGGACGGACGTATCCGTTGATTCCCTGCAAAAAAATCGTTGACGTAAGCCGCCTTCGTCACGCCTAAGTATATTACTACGATGATTTGGACGGCGTTCCAGTATACTTAGCACTAATAAATCATGGAATATATATATTTAAGTGTGAGGTCACTTTTTAAGCTTTGGAATATCGGCTTTTTCTTACACCAAGAGAAAAAATATCGAGAAAATAAAAAATATTTATTCAGTGGTATTAGTGATATATTTACTTAAGGATGTATTGTCCACACATTAGTGCCGTATTTTCAGTGATACATTAAGATTGCTCATAAGTTTAGTATTTATCAGACAAAATTACATTTTTAGATAATTATTTTACTAACTAATAAATGTTGATTTGCAACGAAGTTGAGGTAGATATATACATATATATGATATTAGAAATACTAAAATATATTATTTTTTATTTTTCTTATTAATGTTATACTTTTGTCAATAATTCTGATACTTGTGTATAAAAAATAGAAATTAAAGACTTTGAATTATTGTCAAACTTTTGGTGTCACTTTTATATGCAATGTAGATAAATTTGTAATTTCTTCATTATTTTGAATTATGGGCAAATACATCCTTAAGTTTTTTTTTAATTTTAATACAATAAATAATTTAAATACAATAAATATAATAAATAATTGCTTTTGTGAAAAGCTACAGATTTAAGGAAATGTATATATTTTCATTTGAAAAAGATTTGTTCAGTGTATGAACATATATATTTTGATATAAGTGTAAATATGTTATTATTATTCACAGAATAAATATTTTCTGTTTCTTGGATATTATTCCTTTGATGTAGCGAAATTTAATCATCGATTCTGATATCAAACAATTATCCGACTTATAAAATTAACGGAATAATAATGTGAATACACGTGTCCGACGGCGACAGAAACGACGTATCTGAAAAGTGCTACTTCGTGGTTTGTCGCGACTCTCTCGCCGGGTCTTCCTTGCGAAAGATCGCCTGGCGATGCGGATCGTCGAGGCACATCCAATCAAACGAAGAGAACTCTACGATAATTGAACTCGCGGTTTACTTGCGGCGCGTAAAATACTTCTCCCCCTTCGTCAAGAATCCCTAGCTACTCCTCCTCCCTTCGGTCGTCGTTACATCTTCTTCCTCATTACGTCGTCCTTCTCCTCCTCGGCGTCGTCCGTGATGATCTGCACGCTCCTCACCGGGCCCGTTTTCCTGTAACTCGAGGACGGCGTCGTGGTGCTGGTTACCACAGCGGCGGTCGGCACTATCGTCGCTCGTTCGGCATTGATCGCCAAGTTCACCATTCTCAGTAGCAGTGCTTCCCTGATTGGCGCCGGCAGAATCTCGTCGCCGTCCTCGATCACGTCCTGCGTGTAGAATTTCTGCCGGTAGACCCTCTTCGAGTACCTACCGTCGTGGTAGTCGTCGTACTGTTGATAGAGCGGATTCAGAGCTCGAGGGTACACCGGTCGCCTCAACGGCACTCGTTCGCCATATCGCACCTGCTGATCGTACGTGAGCTCTGGTCGCGGCGCCTGGTAGGTCGCCGGGTACGACGGGTACGGCTGCTGATCGTACAGCGCGTCCTCGAGGTAGCTCTTCGGGTAGGACAGAGCTTGCACGCCATATTGGCTGACCAGCAGCCTCCTGAGCAGTATTTGGAAGTCTCGCCGGCTCAGCGGCGGTGCGATCGGGTTCGGCGGCTCTGGAGGCAGGGCCAGCTGCCCGGCATTGGTGCGGTAAGGATACTCGGTCGCTTGGTAGTCCCTCTCGTGCGCGGATACCGGTATCGGTCGCAGGATCGGTCGTCTCTGCTCGGATTCCTGATAGAGCAACGGTCGCATCAGGGGACGCGGTCGCCCGTAGTTTCCGTTCATCGTGATCCGCGCCTCATCCTCGTGCTCGGCCGGGTTCTCCGTGAGGTAGTGGATATTGGCGTCCGTCGTGGTCGAGTAGACCGAGCCCGGCTGCTGATTCGGGCGGAAGAGGATCCTGCCGATCGGTATCGTCCGGTAGACGCCACTCTCCTCCTCGATGCCGCTCTGCTGCGACGGCAGGATTATCCTGGGCGGTAGTTCCCGCAGGAATTGTTCAGGCTGCTGCCTTACGTAGACAGGCTCGGTGCCCTGTCTGACGTAGTCTCGGCCGGGTGGCGGCAACCTGGTAGAGGTGCGAAGCAGCACCTGCTGGGCTGACGTGCGGTCCTCCTCAGCGGGCTTCGTCTCCGTCTCGAAGATTCGAGGTCCGTCGTACTTGGAGTTGTCGAACCGTGCCGGGTTATCCCGGTTCGGGTAGATCTTCGGCCGTGAGGTCACTCTTTGGAGAACCCTGTTCGGAGATGATGTGGTGAAGAGAGGACGCGTCGTAGACAGAGAACCTCCGTAGACGTCCGAGTGGTCGTCGTTGTTGTCTGCCGCGGGATTCGGCTTAGTGGTCTCGTCATGCAGTTGCCTCCTCAAGGTGTTCCCCGTCGTGATCTTAGCCTCGTCCTCTTTGTCCACAAAGTCCTCGGAGATGGGCGGCAGGCTGTGCTCGATCGGTCGTTTGGCGAAGACGATTCTACGGTAAAGGCCGCTCTTGTCGTCCGTAGTGGGTCGATTTATCTGCGAATCCTCGTCCTCGGTGATCTCCTCCGGAACGATCGGCCTCTGTTGACCGTTGATGATGAAGCGAGGTCTGCTCTTCGGCGTGCCTTTCAGGTAATGCCCGAATATCGTCTTCGGGGCCTCCGTGGTGGTAGTGCTGGTCGTCGTGGTGGTCGTACTGGTGGTAGTTTTCCTCGATCGAGGAATCGACTGCACGACCGACGATTTAGTTGGCGCCTCCGTCGTCGTCGTGGCGTACACGATGCTCGGCTTCTTCGTGGTCAACGTGCGGTTGACGCGCGGTATGCTCTGAACGACCGACACGTGTTCCTGCAACGGTGACAGGGTAGTCGCTTTAAAGCCCGTCCCGTTCGACGAGGAGTACGAGACCCTCTTTATTTCGCCGTCCGCGTCCACGAAGCCGAATGTGCCCTTAATGTTGCCCAAAACATCGCGACTCTCGACCTGATGAAATAAGTATTCCGCCTTTAATTTCTTGTTTTCCAGCAGCGTGACTTTCGCAAATTATAAATTTAATCTTTTTATCAATAACAACTTTTTAAATACATTTTTATTATTTAATTATATATTTAATATTTTATTATAATATATTATGTTAATTATACTCAATTTAACATAAGTTTGTAAGTAAATTTTTAATTAATATGTTTAATATTTTTTTTATTAATATATTTGAAATAATCGTGCAAATATTTGAAAGTTCTCTAATGTAAATTACGTGGATTTATATATACAGTCATATTTTGAGAAAAATTAAATAAAATCAAATGAAAGACAAGTAAGAGGAACGTGTCGGAGCGATATAATATTTATTGAAAATAAAAGGTTTTTAAGAAATTTAAATTTTAATGAATATAATAATAATGAAATATGTAAATTTCTCTTAGAAATAAATGTTTTAGTCGTTTAGCCTCCCTTAATTAAATTGTAAATTCTTCTTAAATTAAATAAGTTGAGAAAGCGACATTTAATGTGACAAATAGCATGAAATGTCAAAATTCGAAGAAACGGTCAAGTTAATTATTTCTTCCGATGACTACAATATTGTTTTATTTATTCCACGTTTACGCAACATATATGCATAATTGTCTCATTACCGAATCATCCAGCGTCATTAAAGATGCGTAAATTATTTCATAAAAATTAATAACGATAATTTCTGTTTGAATAGATCAAATACTTTTCGTAGCAACATTGTGTATTTCAAAGCTAGATTAGAATACAAAATGTTATACAACAAGATTTGTATTGTGAATTTACAATCGTGGGAGGCAATTAGATTCTTACGCGATTATCCGAGTGAGTATTGATACGACATTAACATTGTCGTTAATATTACTCGCGCTGCCGACTCAAGCGGATGTAAATCTAATTTAAAGTATGGAGAGAGAGAAGAAAACCCGACTGAGATAATTAGTATGCGACGTCGTGGGAAAATGTGTTCGATGCGATTTATAGTTCTGAGGAAAAAGTCGATATACGCTGCTTTACGTGTAATCACCTTGAATGATCCGTCGCCGGCCTCGTAACCGTACGTGTAAGAGCCGTCTTCGTTCACCTTTCTGATCTGTTTCAAGATCGCCACTTGATGATCATGCTGCGTCTCCGATGTTTGCTGGTCCGTGACGTTTGTGCAGCCGGCAGTCACCAGACAGAAGAATGCCATCAGCCATGGCGTCATCTTAAAAGCAAAAGACGATTTTTCTCTCTGGGGGAAGAAAACGCAAGAGTAGCGCGCGCGATCCTAAGCACAACGCATGATAGTGTTATCACGAATACGAAACGGGAAAGCGGGGGGCGTTCGGTGTGAAAAATAACACGAACGAGTGACTTCCGAAGAAACTGCCAACTTAATTCTTTCTTCCGGTGGCTACAATATTTGTTTTCTCTTATTTAGTCCACGTTTATGCAAAAGCGAGGTACTTTTACTTCCACATAACGATAGATCCACACGTCACTTTACAACCGTATCGCGCCTCGAGACAGGACGAATTCTGGAGGGCGAGAAACATCACGTGCGCACTTTCCCACGAGCACCAACGTCGACCTCGCGAAAAAGAACGTTCCGATCGAACACTGTGCTTCGGATTGACAGCGGTCTCGAAATCGATCTCTCTCGCGCACGGATCGCGCACCATATAAACGCGCACTTGCGCTCGCCTGTCCGCTCTCGGTGGCGGTCTAAGGCGAATATACCTTGCTGCAACTGGAAACCATGTTACCGCGGATGCGGTGAATGTTCTTAATACCGCGTGGGGTGTCGGGTGCCGTTATATATAGAGTGACACAATAGGCAACCACCGCGCCCCTTCCACGGCGCGCCACGCTCAACCTTGATGACCCCTAAACGTTCATTAAGGCGCTGGAATACGAAATGACAATTCTTTCGTAGACCGCCGCGAACGGAAGAACGGACTGCGCGCGAAAAGGAAATGCACAATAATAAAGGCGCCTGTTTTTCTGTGTTTCTTCATCTCGATTACAGCCGTCGCCTCGTCAACGAAACTGCCCCAGACAGGGATTACGAGTGGAAGGCGCGAGGAGATGCACGCAAACGGACGATGGAGAAGCGATCTCCTCCGTCATTAAGCTAGTTAGCCTGTCGAACCATTTTCTCTCGGATCCTTTAACTTTAACACTATCTCTGGGATTGCTTTAACTTTAACACTATCTATCGGAGATAGAAATTGTATTCCAAGTTTCACATTTCTGAAACTTCGTCACATTGTATTTGAATAACGAGATTGTGAAATGTAAACATTCGAACAAATATATTCAAATATGGAATATTCGAAACTTCAAAAACTGCAAAATACATGCGTTCGTTTTGTAATCACAGTAAATGGCATTTATTATGCAATGTTTACTTGCATAACAATGCACTAAACGATTCTATAACGATTCTAAACTTAAATTATCACAAAATATCAAGGAGATTAAGTCAGGAGAAAGGAATAGAATGTCCAGGTTTTACGATTGCCTATATTTTCCGTAGTATCCTGGAGAGAGTAACAATTTGATCCAGATCGATTAAAGGATTTAGGAGTTAATAAAGAACAGACATTCTATTATATATATATATATATATATACAGGGTGTCGCAAAAAATTGTACTACACTTTACGTAGTTCGTTATAAACATTGAAAGCAAACTGTACGATATTTTATAAACAATCAAAGTGTGGTAACATTTTTTTGCGACATCCTGTCTTAATTTCGTTTAAAACTAACAATTATTATTTAGATAGTTAAATAAGATTATAAGGGGAAAACATATTTTTTCTAGGAAATAAACTTATGTAGGTGCCTCTAAATATTGCCATTTAAAAAACCAGCACTCCACGTGCCAACTACTCTGAAGGTATTAGCGGTGCTGTAATTGACGTTTAAGCTTAACGTCCCGCGTGAGTTCACGCCGTTTTAATTATTAAACATAAGTCTCCCCTTTCTCTTATTAAAACTACACGCGAGCCGTTGCATGTTCATGCTGACATAAACCGGCGATCCTACCGAGAATCTCGCGTTAAGCGTGATTTTCGCTCCACCTTTTTCCCTTCCGAGCGGGTCTCGCGGCGCGTTGACGTAGAAACTGCCGGAAACTTGGAAACTCGCACGACTCGTAAGCGGCGCCGAAGAAAGTGCACCAACTACAACGGGCGACGAAAAGGAGCGGATGTGCGCTGCGAAGGGGTGAGCGGGGTGAATGGGACACACGAAGAAGTTCGGCTCCGCGGGGACAAGTGAAAGCCACGTGGGAGTTGACGGCCGGGCAAGAACAGTAGTAGACTGTAAAATCTGTAACAATAGTTCCCATAGTGTGCAACACCGGTATTGTGGTATTCGCTCGACTCTAGGCACTCCCACAGGACAATTATTACATCATGCAATTTCCTCCGCGGTATTTCGTATTCACCTTTTTGATGCCACCTTTTTGATACGCCTCGTGTCCGCGAACGTATCGGCTGTCTATCTCGCCTCACGTTTCCTCCGCGTCGAGGATTGTTGTCTCCTCGGGGGTCTGCGCGCGCGCTCGACGCGAGCTCATTGACGGCGAAATAATAAAATATGCAGGATATCCGGGAAAAGTGCGTTGCACAGGATGTATCGGGAGACGAGCGCACTTTCTCCCGGTCATTGATTCATCGACGAACTCCGAGTCGATCTTCTCTGAAATTTTCTCTATCGCGCCTGTCTCGATCATCGGTGAAATTACCATCGTTGCCCAAAGTGATCTCTCTTTCTCTCCCTTCGCTCGGAAGCGGCGGATTGTCGTTAACTCGGGCCGCGGAATGAACTACTCTCGTGGTTGGTAAGATCGGGAAAATTCGCTAGAAATTGGACGAAAAATGAGATCTCGTTAACTATTTACGCTATTGAGGCTTAATTCACCAAAACCCCCGCGACTTTCCACGTTGTGTAACTCTAATTAGGCCCCTCCTCTCGAATTCTTGCGAAGGAACAGTCAACTCCTAATACGTCAGATACTGCCGTTAATGTCCCTCTTCTTATTTCCGCTCAAGTTTAATTTTAACTCCTGCCAGAAAATGTGTGCGCAAAAAACCGAATACAATTTTCGAATCTCTATAATTTTCCTTGGTGCACCAAAACACGGAATGTAGGAATTAACATGATTACCTTTTTCGGAAATGTGCAATGAACGCGGTGTTAATTATAACGCAACCACACACGTCGCGCATTACCTCAGTTGTATGTCTTTCACTGACACACCCACTTCGTTACCCACGAGAGGTTCAACATTATGTCTTTGGAAAGCATAGGCACCGTGTGTTCCTTTTTTGGTGATTAACGATGTCGAAAATCCGCTGAAACCGCGCCGTTTCTTATCACGGTAATATGTTATTTGGGCGCCTAAACGTATCCACGAGTAGAACTTGCGAAACACGCTTTAATACGTAATCAAACAATTCACCGCGAGCGTTTACGGCTAAGATAGGTATGAGAATGCGAATTTACGAAACCCAATTCAAAGATGAATTAATGTAACATAAATTTCGGGGAAATTTCAAGACTAAAAATTACCGGAACGATAATCATGGTAAATCTGTTCAAAATGCTTCATATTTTATTTATTTTATTTTACGCGAAATTTTTATTTATTTTACGCGAAACACACATATCGCGAATAAAAATTTCCCGGTTGAATGTGCAATTATGAAGAAACACTATTTTTAGTATCAATCGATTGCACGAAGAGATTGCTGAGTAACGACCTTAATGTTCTCTTTTATCGTACGTGAAGATCGGGATTATTATTGCATCTAGCTCATTATCTCCGCCGAGCCGACGGACTGTAAATACTAAGTCATCGCAAAGTGCTTCCCATCCTAAATACATATTTTATCATCTATAATGGACTAGTTCTCCTACGTGTTAGTATATTGACTCATTGATGTCATGATATGCAACGCCTCGAGTATGCTGCCTTCTCTACGGCGCTGCATTCTGTGATAGAGTGTGTTAGGAACTAATCCAAAGGAACATTCACTTTTTTTTACACAATTAATCATCAGTATGTCTAATTATAAAGCTAATACTTGAAAACTGCTTAAAAAAAAAGAAACCCGTACAAACTGGTAGAGAAATATATAATATCTAGAATTATAATAACACAGTTAAACAAATTATAGTCAAGAAAACCATTAATATGATAAATATCACTGTAATATGGATTATAATTTATATGGGCATAGAATATAACCAATCTACATAAATTATTTACTATGAATTTTAAGAATTTTAAATATAATTCTAGTAAAGTAGCAAATATAGAATGATAACAGAAATTGATTATTGTATATAGTCAATGCAATTGTAATAAATAACAAATAATACTACATATACCAACGTTCTTAACCCGTTCTTTACTATACGTATGATAATGACAATAAATGAAATAACGAGAGAAACAACTATTTCTATAAAAACGTGTGTCACTATACGAACGTTATATTTGAATATATTTGTAACTGATAAATTAATTAAATTACCAGTTACAAATATATTATCTTAAATTTTATGGTTCCTGTAAATAAATTTTCCTTTGTTTAGCAACAATTTTCCACAAAGAGTACGATATACAATACTCAGGGAAATATAAATTACAGATTTAATGAGAAGATATATTTACTAGATGTAAATTATACAATTATCTCGGTGTTGAATTATTTGTCGGATAGTGAAGTATCAAGTAACAATAATTATAACAGATTTCCCAGATATAAGTGATTATTATTATCGCTGTTAAAAATCGCATATTGTTCGTTCTTTCCGCGGACGCAACTTCACGAGGAACTGACTTCGCGTAACATACATACAATGAAAGCGAAGCTCCACACACGACGAAATTATTGTAATTAGATTACTTCAGAGGATTATGCGCTCGCAATTGTCATTTAAGTAGACCTACCGTTTCCTTCGCGAGTTCGAGCTCGCTAACGTCACGTCGAGCATGTAGCTCATCTAAGTGCCGCAAGTGCCGTCGTTAAATCACCTCGATCTGCGTATTTATGTCTACCACGTGGCAAAAACAGAATGGTCGTCACATCCTTTTGACATTTACCGTGCAGGATAGAAGATGTTGCGCATGAACGCCGTTCTGTATTCGCTTCTTGCCACTCTGCGTGATTGAACCGCGTTGACACTCACTAATGACACGGACGTCCAGTTGTTGGACGTTTTTAATGATTGCTCATTTTTTTCTCAAACTCGACGCAACGCAACTGATGCTTCGGCTTGTCTCGGAAAAGTTTCTTAAATAGCCATGTGCATCGTTAAAAAGTGTTCTCACTTAACACAGTTATTGACGGTAAACTTGTATTTATCAGCTTTCCTTAAATTACAATTTTATTTGACGATCTCCAATGATACGTGAAACACCGTAATTATCAAATCTCAAAGTACGTGATGTGTGTGCTATAATTTGTTTCCTGCCGGGAGATTTCATTGCGGAGATCTTTTTGTTATTGCTAATTTATCGTTCATTCAACGGTGAAGTGCTACTTACGGTAATTACAGAGTCGCGCGATGATACTTAGGAATTTTTTGCAGAACACAGGGATTGCGTACATCGCAGAGATACGCGGTCGTTTGTTAAACGATGCTAGCAATTGTCTCGCTCATCTTCTACCGGTAAAATGGAGAGTGTGTTTAGAAAGCAGCAGTGAAACTTTCGCTAACAACCTGCGGCTTGCGATAACCACAAAAC